CCACTTGGAGGGACAGGAGCCCATGACACAGTCATATCCTGTGGGTGAAGATTCCTTCCCAAGTAACTAACATTAGGTGAATGTTTCTGAAACAGAATTCAGCATCTCCCCTGTCTGCGCCCTAACAGGGGTATTAGTCTTCTAGGGAGAGAAGGATAAGGAAGACAGGGTTCTGAGTCTGTGGGAAGAAAGAGGAGGCTCAGAGCTAGCAGGAAATGACATCTCCCTATTCTTTCCTGTTCTGCACACATGGGGCTCAGCTGACATGCATCCATGTTCTTCTACAGGAGACCTTTGGACTGTGTTTCTGTGTCATCCAAACACAGTAATACATTGTTATATATAAAAGAGCCATGCTGGGCCCTGTGAGAACCACCTAGTTTTGGGGGTGTCCTTGCAGATTGTGAGTCTGCTCTTCAGAGATGAGTTACTATACTTAGCATTGTTCCACCAAACATCTGAGAACCACGCATGTGCATTCCCAGGGGGTGATAGATCCAACTGACTCCTGCACCAGTACTGCTCAGTGAGAACCCAGAGAAGGAGCAAGTCAGTGTGAGGGGATGGGCATGTCTCATCTGCCCAGGGCCAGACTCCTCCTCAGTTAACTGAGACAGAGCCCCAGCTGAGAGGGAAAAGATGAGGTCAGACTCAGATGTGTGAGCCTGGGAGAGAGGACACACAGTCAATGGAACCCTGTGAACTATTAGTGGGAATGCAAATTTGTACAGCAGATGAGGAAAATAATATGGATGTTCCTAAAAAATTAGAAAGGGAACTGCCTTATGACCCAGTTATTCCACCTCAGGGTATGTTTCCAACAACAAAAAAAGCATTTTATGAATGTGTTTCCTATAGATCCATGTTTATTTCAGCATTATGGGCAACACCCAAGATGTGGATAAGTATATATAATAGCATATTATTTGCCATAAAAAATGAAAATCCTACCATTAGTCAATATAAATGGAACTTGAGGGCATAATGGTGGGCAAATTAAGTGAGACACAGAAAGAAAATTACTGTGTGATAATGTATCTGGAGTCTAAAATATTATTACAGGGGCCATATTTGTGGTTACCAGAGGTGGTGATGGACAAGGGGAGAATGGTGTGTTGATGATGTAAGGGTACACACTTCCAGTTGCAGCATAAGTAAATCCTGGGCATGCCATGGACACCACGGTGACTAGATTTAACAATGCTCTATGGTTTGTGGGAGTTTGTTCATGTGAGTAGATCCTAAAAGTTCTTAGCACAAAGAAACCCACATTTCCCTCCTTTTTTTACTATTTTATTTTCTTTCCTTCTCTACCTTTTCAATTTCTTCTGTCTGTGTGAAATAATGCATGTTAAATGTATTTCTCTGGTAATCATATCACAAGATAAGTAATTCTAGTCATTATGCTGTGCAGCTTACACTTAGAGAGTGAGGAATGACCATATGTCTGTAGAGCTGGAAGAAAAGTGGGGAGAAAATGAAATAGGTTTTTTCCAAGGTTATCATTGAACTGGCCAACATGTGTCTTAAAATATGGTCAATATTAATGATAATTAGAGAAATGTAAGTCAAAACCATAATGAGAGGTAACCTAATACCCATTAGGGAGTTAATATTAAAAATAAAAATAAACAAAATAATGAGTGTTTGCAAGAATATGGAAAATATTCACTAAAAAATAAAATGGTACAAATGCTTTTAAAAATTACAAAGTAGAAATGTTACATGGTGCAGCAGTTAGACTCCTGGGTGTGTGTCTAAAGTCATTTCAAAGAGATGGTTAGACACCACCGACCATAGCAGAAATTTCAGAACAGACACTAGGTGGAAACAACCTAAATACCCCTTGATGGATGAAGGAATAAACAAAAGTGTTACATGCATACACCGGAGTATGTACATCATTGAACATGGGGATCCTGTCAGATGCCTCAGTGTGGATGGACCTTGAGGACTTTATGATGAAAGAAATAAGAGAGTCACAAGAAGACACAGCTCTATGATGCCACATACGTAAGGCATCTATGTAGAGTAGTCAAGGGCATCAAAACAGGAAGCAGAATGGTGAGAGCAGGAGCTGGGAGGAGGGGAAGGTGGCTTATGTGGATAACCTATCAGGCTCTGCCTGATACAAGAATTCCTCACCTTGTTCTATGTCAACATGAATATACCTAACATGACTGAATTGTATATTTTGGATAGATAAGATGGTGCCCTTTTTTATTTTCTGTCACAATTAAGAATTTTTAAAATATATAAAATTAGATTCACTCTGTGCACATTTTCTTATGTACTGAAGAGTCCAACATGCATTTTATTTAGAACTGAAACAAAGACCTGTGATTCTAAAACAGCTTCTGATTGAACACGTGCTCCCTCTGACCTTTGTTCTCCTGGGCAGGACCTGTTGAACATCAGGGCCATGGAGTCAGGGTTCCAGGGGGTTTCTTCAGGGACCCACTGCACTCCCGATGAAAATCCCACCCACAGTGAAGCTTCAAACCCTTTGATCCAGTGGGGAATCGTGATTTCCTACTCACCCCTACACCCTCGAGAGGGACATTGGAATCTGGCCTGGCATTGCCTACCCCTCTGTGTGTGGTACAGTAACATATGGCCATGGCCCCAGGGATCACAGAGCTCAGCTGCATGGGGGCTGGAACAGGGACATGCCCTTGGGGTCAAGATTCTGCTCTGTAATGACAGTTGTGGTGTGAACTACACCTGGCACTGTGTACCCCATCTTTAGAGCATCTCTCAGAGGTTCATTAACCCTTAGCCAGAATCATGCAGCTCACTCAGGATAGGACACTGGAGGACAAAGAGTACACTGTGGAGAAGGGAAGGCTCCTTTTCAGCCTCTGGATACACATCACCTCAGACTTTCAGATGCCAGTTTATCTCAAGGAGAAGATCCCCGAGGACATTGTGTCCATACCATGGTCTTGTGCTCAGACCCCTACTCGGCTGACAGAGAAGGAAACACAGGCTTTCTCCTGCACTGTGCCCTCCATGGAACCTCATTCTCATTGACGTGTGGGCACCTTCCCTGCTTCTCAGGGTCTGTAACCCAATGATGATGGGGATCATCACACTGAGTGTCTCACACAGTGATGCACGGGCATAACCTCCAATATCATGCCATTGACCTGCAGATAGGTCGTGCTGATGGAGTTGTTCACAGAGAAGAAAAATCCTTCTGAGAAGCCCCAGGCATATGTGTGCTTCCCAGAGTTTGTGTTGACCCAGCCCACATACTGCAGGCCATCTCCTGGGGCCTGCCCAACCGAGAACGATGCATAGCTGGTGAAGCTCCACACAGAAGGCTTTCAGGAGACCTGCACTGAGGCCCCAGGCTTCCTCACCTCATTCCAAGGCAGCAGCAGCTGCACGTGGGAGTGCCCACCTTTGGAGAGGAGGCAGGTGTGGGTGAAAATTCCTCTTGAGTGTTCCTGGACACTCCTCAACCCAGAGTCTGAAGAGAGCCATGCATGCAGCCACTGGCACCAGGACAAGGGCTCTCCAGCTCTAGTCCATGGTGAGGGCTGTATCATCAGGACTAATAATGTAGGGGAGGGTGTGGCTGTGGGTGATGACCTCAGGGCACAGACAGACTCATGGTTAACCTAGTCTACCTCTCCTCACTCGCATATTCATTAGTTAGGGCACTTTAAGGCTGTTATATGACCCCACCTTTGAGAGGGTGCAGGACACAGGGACCGTTCTCAGTGGGAGAGTCAGGGTCCAAGTCTGTCAATGTTATTGGATATAAGTTTCCTGCTGGATCCCTGAGCTCCGCAGAGACATAGCTCCTCCCAGTGAGGAACAAGCCCCCACAGGACATGCTCCTCATTGAGAACCCACCTTTTAGTGACACAGTCAACCTGGACCAGTTCTGGGCTTTAATACCTGTAGGTTTTATTCCTTGGATCAGGGTGTCTTAAAACGCAGCACTGAATAGGTTTTAAAAAATCCCTGTCTCCAGATCTTTAATTTTTGGTTATCAAGTAGCCCTAGAAATACTCTCACTGAGTGAGGTTTTCTTGGCAAATTCTCTGATAGAAGAGAATATTTACAGTCTCATCATATCCAGGTTTTATTTTATACATTTTTATGAAAAGAATAACTGTGCCACCAGAGGAAATCTCGCCCCAGTTTCCTCTGCACCTGCTGCTGAAACAGCTGTCCTTACATCACAGGGTCTGTTCGCCCCCTGCTGTCCAGCCCATGCCCTGCAGGGGGATGTCCTGTCTGAGCTCACAGGGCATGGGCCTCTCAGCATCTCCAATCTGGAATTAAAGGCTGCACCCTGACTTCAGCACACTCCTCAATGCAAGTCACTGTGAAGTCACCAGGGACCTCCCTCACTGGAGATGCCAGAGGCACTGACTCAGGTCACACCCCTTTGTCCAGAAACCCTCAGCAGTTTTGTGGATTTCTGATGTCCTCAAGTTCCTCTGCTTGCAGGTCCCACCTGAGTATCCAAGCATGCCCCCTAAATCCACTGCACTTCTACTGCTGAATGAATCACACACTAACACACACAGTGATGAGTTTCATTGTAACGGTCCCACTTCTCCCTTCTCCCCAGTTCCTAGCATATGGGAAGGATCCCCGCTCTCATCACATTCAGTGAGTGGCTGACTGTGATGAGAAGAGAAGCAAACACGATTAACATGAAGACTTGAGAGCACCTGCTCTTGCAGTTTCCTGCTCCCCCAGCACCTGGAACCTGAAGATTCAATGGTGAGAACACCCTAGCTCCTCGCGAGGAAAACACCAAGGACACCCTTTTCCAGTCAGTGTAGCCAACACTGACCTGGATTTTTTGGAGGTCTCTGGTACAGGCCACAGGCCCCATTCTCAGAGCACACAGCCAGGAGTGCCGAGGGCAGTGCCAAGGACACTGGGTGTTGGTCACCAGAGGAGAAGCAGGTGCTGATGCAGGGACAGCAGAGACAGAAACGTGGTCCTGGGGAGTCAGAGTCTGTGCACCAGTGTCAGTGTAGTTTTCCACTGTCCCCGGTGTCCTCAGCGCCCCCTGGTGTCCTAGGCACAGCTGCACTCCAGCCCCCTTGTCTCCACACAGGAGGTTTGTGTTTGGGCTCACACTGACTTCCCCTCACTGTGTCTCTTGCACAGTAATACACAGCTGTGTCCTCGGTGGTCACGGATCTCAGCTGCAGGGAGAACTGGTTCTTGGACGTGTCTCTGGAGATGGAGGTGCGGCTCTTGAGGGACGGGCTGGAGTAAGAGCTCCCATCATAACATGTGACTGCAATCCACTCCAGCCCTTTCCCTGGAGGCTGGTGGATCCAGCTCCAGCAGTAACCACTGGTGATGGAGTAACCAGAGACATACCAGGTGAGGGAGAGGGTCTGTGAGAGCTTCAGGAGTCCTGGGCCTGTCTCCTGCAGCTGCACCTGGGACAGGACACCTGGGGACAAGGAGCATCCAACACTGTCAGTCATGTACAGTGACCACCATCCCAGAGAACTCTGTCTGCCCTCTGAGACACTCACCTTGGGGGGCTGTCACCAGGCACAGGAGGAGACCTAGCAGTCTCATCTTCTTCTAGACAGAGCTCTGCCTTCCCCCAGAGACCTCTTTCCTGTGTGAGGAGACAGTTGTGAGCCCCTAGCAACCCAGGGGAGGATTTAAACTGGAAGTGAGAAAGAAATTTGCATGTGAGGGATGCTGTTCTCATAAGTGAGGAGAAACTGAGGTCACTGCCCCATGTCCTTCTGGACCCTGAGTGCAGTTATTCTGTTGGACTCAAAGGCATGGGTCAAGTTTGGGAAGTCAGTTGGGTTATGGAACAACTTCGAAACATGACAGTGGACAGTCCTTCATTTTATGTTTAAAATTGAACCTGAACTGCGTGAGGGGCCATACTCTTTTAATTCCATGCACTGTTCAAGTGGATATTAAAACAGGTTGACATTATATAGAAACATCTGTCCAAGTCCAAAAACATCAAATTAAGTATATTCATTGTTGTCAGATTGGAAAATGTAATTTTATAAAAAATAACATCTGATGTAAATTTTCTTGTAAAATAAAAAAGTCTTCCCCTTAACCTGGCTGAGGCCCCCTGAACCTCCAGGTGGCAGTGTAGGCGCAGCCTCTGTCTCAGCCCAGCTCCAGGAAAAGGGGTACACTGGTCAGTCCTGCTGTCAGGAGTACAACCCTGGCCCTGCAGCTGAGACAGGTGCTACACATGCTGTGTCCTTTCTTTCACCTCACTTCTCCCAGGGCAATACAGGCAGCCCCTTCCCACAGGTGACCCACTCTGGAGGCCTCCCTGGTTCCTAGACTACAGGAGGCACTGAAGTCCTGGAGGCACCTTCTGCCAAAGAGACACAGGCACTCACTCTCTGCCAGCAGGTGTTCTGAGCTGTGTGTGGATGACAGGACCTGCTTCCTGGTCATAGAATCAGTTTGGAAACTGCCATCCTCAGGTACACCTGAGGGCCTAGGGGGAGGGGATATGAGGGCTGATGTCTGGGGAAGGATAGTTGGATCTCATGATGGGCCAAGGTGACAAATGAAGGGAAAACAAAGTACAGACCAGGTGTATCTTTTATTAAAGCATTAAACTTAGGTGAAACCCATGATGAGATTTAACAGACTAGTAAGTGCTAAAAACCAGGTTTGCTTCCCCAAGTTTCACACACCCTCCACACACAGAACATCCCCACTGCTGCCCCCATTATTTAACAGGGCACAGCGAGGACTGGGGCACATCTGACAGACTGAGGACATCCCTGGACCAGTTGTGAGATTTACCTCAAGTACCAAATGTCTCAGGAGATTTCCCTTTGTTGACAAAGAGCTGAGAGTGAGGGGTTGGTGCAGCCACATGGGGTTGAGGTGGTATCTGTGATGGAGATGGCAACACTGTTCTGGAAATACTGGGGGCATCTGTGAGGAGCCCAGGGCATGAGCCAGCATGGCCAGTGTGAAGGAATGGGAGGTGGATGCCAAGGGAGAGCAGTGAGGTAACCTCCTCCAGAAGCAACACACCTGAGCCCCAGGGGACACCTATGTTCTTTAACCCTTTCCTGACCCTTTCTCCAATGTAGACGAGGACAACTGAGAACCTGACCATGGCCCTTGCCACCCCAGTGATGTATGTTCTGAACTTCCCCAGTGGGCTCTCAGACTACACGTGCCTTCCCCGATCACCTGTCCCTGTGTCTTTGCTCTGAGATGCATTTCAGGTGACACATAAATGTCTCCTGTCCCAGGTTTCCAGAAAATTTAGAGGCTGTGAGACACAGAGAACTGGAACTTGTTGAAGGTTTTACCACTTTTTTGTCACTTCCATGACAGGTTAGGGCAGAGGGATCTGTGGGCTACTGTCTCAGGTTGACACTGTAAAGTGAAAATTCATGGGGGCAATGTGTCTCCTGAGAAGGGAGCATCCATTCTGGGCAGCGGGGTCCTGTGTGTGGTGAACATCATGGAGGTCATGGGTTCCCACATCATCCTGGCTGCACCACACCGTGATGTAGAGAGTGCTGACCCCAAAGACATGCCACCCACATTGCATCCCCCTCAAAGAGACACTCAGGTGCTTGTAATGACCTGCCCCCTATGAACATGTCTTACCCTCTGCACTTGACCCCACACATCCACCTCAAACACTGCTCCATGCCAGGAATGTTGTGGTCCAGAATCCTGGACCAGACTCCCCCTGTTCCCAGATTCCATTTCCTTGGAAATACCCATAGGGCAGGCAAAATCTCTGAGGTTTTTTTTCCCCCAAAATGAGCTCCTGGCAGAGACCTTCCATACCAGCCTTCTGCAGCAGTCCTGACTGTATTCCAAACCAGCAGAGTCAGGAGGCACCATCTGTCCTGGAAAACACGAGCACACCTCTCCTTAGTGCTGGTGTGACATTTATGGTAAAACATACATTAGCTAATGTCCACTGTGCTAATCAATTTTAAGTGGACACAGTGACACTAAGTGCCCTCACTCCATTTGAAATCCTCATCACCATCCAGACCCAGAAATACTGACTTTCCCAAACTGACTCTGTCCATTAGATAATACCTCCTTGTTTCCCGTCCCCACCGCACACACACTTCTGGTGCTCTGTCACCATGCCCTTGACCACTGGGTTTCTCACATACATGGGAACACACAGCTCTTGTGATCCTGAGAATGATTTATTTCTCAGGGTGTTGTGTCTGCAAGGGTCTTTCTTATTCTTGAATCTGTTCACCTTTTCTTTTTTTCAGCAGAATGATATTTTGTGATAAAGATGGAGCACATCTTCAACATTCTGTTTCCTTTTATATCTCTTTTGTTTTCACAAGAGTTCAGTTGACTCTAAACACATGCCTTTGCTGTTTTCCTGATCAGGAATCATGAAGCACAGCACCGGGAAGGTGGACAACAAATTCAGGTGAGAAGAGTCTACACAGGATCACACAAAATGGACAGGAAGAATTGGTGACCAGAGGCTGTGCTGAGTTAGGACAAAGAGTACTACTTTCTATAGTGATGGCTGAGGTCCTATGCAATGGTCATCTGTCCATCCTAGAAGTAGCACATGAGGAGAAATGGGGAGAAGGAGATGGAGGTGTGTGATGGGGGCAGCTTGGATTGGGCCCTGGTGTCTGACAGAGACTAGGTCCACCTCCAGGTCACACCTGTCTCAGCGGGCTGTTCCTGGGACAGGGGCCACACATCCTTCACCTGTCTTCTATCTCTGAGGAAATAGCAGAATGTGGCAGAAAGGAGGTTCAGGGGAAATTTAGGAGTGACAGGAATATGAGGCTCATGGAGGAGTCTCAAGGTTGCTTACAGTCAAAACATGATAGGCCTGAGGTGCAGGAGGAGCCCGTGTGCACTGAGTGCTGGAGGAAAGATCACAGCTCATGTGGACACTGCAGTTCCAAGGACAGCAGAGAAGAGAGTCACAATGGTGCCCTACACAACTTTGACATTTGGGCAGGACCCCCCCCCAACACCAGGGAGGGCAATTTGCTTCCCCAAGTCTGCTAATTTTAATCACCTTTATGGAAACACCCAGATAATGTGGGGGCACGAATTACCTCTGAAGTGGACCTCTTAAAGTGACTGTCCCATAACTCATGTACCCAACCCTCTCAACAGACTCAGGCAGCCTTCTCCCCACATCATCCTCAATAGTGTCCTCAAACTCATAAATCTGGGAGATTTATCTTCTGAATGAGGAATCAGTGGAAATGGCTAATGAATCTCATAGATGAGCCCTTAGCATGTCTGTCAATGACAAAGGTCACAGTAAAAATCCAGGTAACCCCCTGCATTCACACCTCACTGCTCACAAAGTAAACATGAACTCCACACATTTGAGAATGGCTCCAGTACAGGACGCCCAGCACAGGACTATTGAACCCTCCAGAAGCTGCAATCAGTGGAAGAAGGCAGCCCACCCACGGCATGTGATACAATGAAAAAAGTCTCAGACAGTGGAAACTGCCACTCTAGTTGTCCAACAAAGAACCCTGTCTACTCCCTGGTGCGATCTTATCTGCTTGCTCATAATCCTGGATTGCTGTCAACCTGAGTGCATGGCTAACTCCCTTTCCCTTTTCCTTATTATTGCAATTCTTAGGTGGACTCAGGAGTCTGAACCCAGGTTTTGATAATGGGTGCCTGGGAACTTTGAGCCTTACCCACGTGATTCACATCTGCCCTCATCTGTACACACTGGTAAGAAAGCCTCAGGTATCACTCTTTTGCCCCTGGTGGGACAGTCAATCCAGACAAGTCCCTGCTCAACACAATAACCTTCACTGGCCCTCAACCTGGGCAACAACACACCCAGAGACAATTTCCTGGCCTGACTCTCAGAAGCCAGTTCTCCCGTCCTGGAGAAGCTAGTCCAGCCTTCCAGAGACCTCAGTAATGTCACAACTGAGCTCCATCTGATCCCATGGTGTGTGGGCATCATCAGACTCAACAGCTGAGGCTACTTTGGGTGGGGGCACCTCTGAGTTTGCACAGGGGCCACAGTCACAGGTGATGCATCATGGTGCTGGGACAATGACCTCCACAAGCAAGTCTTTCTTCTCCTTCAGGATTGACCACTGCTCTGTCAACTGATGGCAGGGGAGTCCTGGGAGCTGCTGTTGGCTGCATAATAGTAGTCTCTACTGTCAGAGTCCACATACTGACTCAGGAGTAGATGTGCAAGCAGATGTCAGATGAAGTAGAAACCCCAGACTAACACAGGGACCGGGGCTAACACTGACTCCCCTCTCTGTGTCCCTCACACAGTGATACATTGCCATGTACTAGATGGTCATGAGGTCAGCTGCAGGGAGTGCTGGTTACTGGATATGTCAGCAGTGATGGGGGTGTGGTCTTAGGACCTGGACTACACTCCGTTCCCCTTGTCCAGTACCTGATGCATCCCAGCCCCTTCCCTAGACACTGGTGGATCCAATCCAATAGATAATGCTAGTGATTGAACAGGTGAGGGGGAGGGTCTAAGAGGGCTTCACCAGTCCTGGGCCCAATTCCTGCAACTGCATCTGGGACAAGACACATGGGAACAAGAGGCATCA